TGGGTCACGAGGGAAATTTTCGTTGAGTGGTTCAATGAAGTGTTTGGCCCTAGTGTGAAGGAGCATCTCCTGGAAAAGAAATTGGATCTCGAGTGCCTGCTAGTAATGGACAATGCACCTGCTCATCCTCCAAACTTGGATGACCTAATTTTCGAGGAGTTTGGGTTCATCACAGTAAAGTTCTTGCCCCGAATACCACTCCTCTCCTCCAGCCCATGGACCAGCAGGTCATTGCAAACTTTAAAAAACTCTACACAAAAGCAATGTTTCACAGGTGCTTGACTGTGACCACAGACGCTCACTTGACCCTAAGGGAATTTTGGAGAGAACACTTCAGCATCCTCCATTGCATAACCCTTATAGGCATGGCTTGGGAGGGAGTGACTACCAGGACTTTGAACTCTGCCTGGAGAAAATTGTGGCCAGATTGAGTCGACAAGAGGGATTTTGAAGGGTTTGGGACTGACCCTGATGAGCCTATGTCTGTTGTAAAATCAATTGTGGCACTGGGGAGTTCCATGGGGTTGATGTGAGTTTGGAGGATGTGGAAGAATTGGTGGAAGACCACAACGAAGAGCTCGCCATTGAGGAGCTGCAAGAGCTTCAGTAGGAAGAGCAACACATCGCAGCTCAGAATCTTGCTGCAGAGGAGGAGGAAGAGAGATGGAAGAAGGTGCCTTCTTCAGAAATTAAAGAGATTTTTACTATGTGGGGTAAGATGGAAAGCTTTATGGAGAAACATCACCCTAACAAGGCTGTTGCAAGCCATATTGGCAACATGTACAGTGACAAAGTCTTGGGCCATTTTAGGGAAGTGTTAAAGAGACGCCAGAAACAGAGCTCTCTCCACAGTTATTTTGCGAGACAGGACTCCACTGACTCTCAAGGTGGTCCTAGTGGCATTAAGAAACAGAGAATCAAGCAACCCCAGAAAAGCAATTGGTACCTGAGGTGTTGCTGGAAGGGGATTCCCCTTCCAAACTATAAACAATCCACTCTCTCTCCTCCTCCAGTCTCCCATACACTAAGAAGAATCTCCAATAAAGGTAAGTGTTATGCTGTTATTGTTTCATTCATCATTTCCCATTGTACTGTTTATGTACATGTATATTTCATGTAAAAATTTTTTTTGTTTTAATACTTCTGGGTGTCAAGAACGGATTAATTGTATTTACATTATTTCTTATGGGGAAAATTGATTCGTAAATCGTAAATTTCGTTTATAGTAACGGCTCCAGGAACGTATTAATTACAAAAAACAAGGGACCACTGTACCTTGAAATTGAGCTCAAAATAGTAGAAATGTTCGATTTTTACCAAAGTTCCAAAGTAAACAAATCATGCTAAGCATCCAATACACATCAACTGGCGAGTCAAATATTCTTTCACAAGTGCGCTGATATTATTTATACCATTTCTACACTAATGCAGTAGTCTGCATAACAGTAAATCTTCTATTTTTTTGTGAGAATAAAAATTCAAAGTGGAAAGCAAAAGAATGTAAGAGGGGCATGGGGATGTGACTAATGAACAGAGGAAGTGTTATTTTAGTGCCAGGAATGTCTTTCTTGTTTATTCTGTTTATTCTGGGGTTGTAAGAGAAGTAAATGTGAGGGTCTTGGCAAGAGGCATGGAGTTAAAAGATAAAGAATCACACACAAAGTGGGAGTTGTCACAGTTGCTCTTTGCTGATGACACTGTGCTCTTGGGAGATTCTGAAGAGAAGTTGCAGAGATTGGTGGATGAATTTGGTAGGGTGTGCAAAAGAAGAAAATTAAAGGTGAATACAGGAAAGAGTAAGGTTATGAAGATAACAAAAAGATTAGGTGATGAAAGATTGGATATCAGATTGGAGGGAGAGAGTATGGAGGAGGTGAACGTATTCAGATATTTGGGAGTGGACGTGTCAGCGGATGGGTCTATGAAAGATGAGGTGAATCATAGAATTGATGAGGGAAAAAGAGTGAGTGGTGCACTTAGGAGTCTGTGGAGACAAAGAACTTTGTCCTTGGAGGCAAAGAGGGGAATGTATGAGAGTATAGTTTTACCAACGCTCTTATATGGGTGTGAAGCATGGGTGATGAATGTTGCAGCGAGGAGAAGGCTGGAGGCAGTGGAGATGTCATGTCTGAGGGCAATGTGTGGTGTGAATATAATGCAGAGAATTCGTAGTTTGGAAGTTAGAAGGAGGTGCGGGATTACCAAAACTGTTGTCCAGAGGGCTGAGGAAGGGTTGTTGAGGTGGTTCGGACATGTAGAGAGAATGGAGCGAAACAGAATGACTTCAAGAGTGTATCAGTCTGTAGTGGAAGGAAGGCGGGGTAGGGGTCGGCCTAGGAAAGGTTGGAGGGAGGGGGTAAAGGAGGTTTTGTGTGCGAGGGGCTTGGACTTCCAGCAGGCATGCATGAGCGTGTTTGATAGGAGTGAATGGAGACAAATGGTTTTTAATACTTGACGTGCTGTTGGAGTGTGAGCAAAGTAACATTTATGAAGGGATTCAGGGAAACCGGCAGGCCGGACTTGAGTCCTGGAGATGGGAAGTACAGTGCCTGCACTCTGAAGGAGGGGTGCTAATGTTGCAGTTTAAAAACTGTAGTGTAAAGCACCCTTCTGGCAAGACAGTGATGGAGTGAATGATGGAGAAAGTTTTTCTTTTTCGGGCCACCCTGCCTTGGTGGGAATCGGCCAGTGTGATAATAAAATAAAAATAAAATATTTGGATATTGGCATCTTTTGAAATTTGTGTGAAATTGGCCAAATTGCTAAATTCTGACCACTGTATTGGATAGTTGAAATCGGTAAATGGGTGGTTTCTTTGTATTCATTCGATAGAAAAAATGGAGTTCTAGCAAAATAGTTATGATTTTTGTCGACTAGTACACTGGAATTGGCCGAAAATAGGGCTCAGAGTGGGCAAAATCACCGATGCGTAAACATAGTCGAGACCGCTAACTTCGCGAGAGCATAATTCCGTAATTTTTCCATCAAATTTCATACTTTTGGTATCATTATGATTGGGAAAAGATTCTCTATCTTTTCATAAGAAAAAATAATTTTTTTTTTTAAATTTGGCGACCCTGAGAACAAGTCTCGGAGAGGACTTGGCGACCCTGAAAGGGTTAGTAGCTCACAGACTGTGTAAATTACCAGTGTCTAATAAGGGTCAGTAACCAAATTATGCTTTCATGTCTCGGTTGAAAGTCCACCTCTTTTCAAGAGCTTATGATACTGATGATCAAATTGTCCCTCTTGAATATTCTTTCTAATGTAATTTTTGTATACAGTGGACTCCTGGTTCGCGATGCCATCGGTATCCGATAAATCCGGTATGCGATGCATTATATTGCAAAAATTTTGCCTCGGTTCCCATTAAAAAACCTGGTATACGATTTGTCCGAGACGTGTCCACGTGTGCCAGTGTTTACAAGCCAGCCAGTGTGCTCGCATCTAATGATACATTCAGTACATTCCACATTATCACTGTTTTTGGTGCTTGTTTCTGCAAAATAAGTCACCATGGGCCCCAAGAAAGCTTCTAGTGCCAACCCTTCGAGAAAAAGGGTGCTAATGACTATTGAAATGAAGAAAGAGATAATTGCAAAGTACGAAAGTGGAGTGCGTGTGTCGGAGCTGGACAGGTTGTATACAAAACCCCAATCAACCATCTCTACTATAGTGACCAGGAAAACGACAATCAAGGAAGCTGTTGTTGCAAAAGGTGCAACTGTGATTACAAAACAGCAACTGCAAGTGTTAGAAGATGTTGAGAGACTGTTATTGGTGTGGATAAATGAAAAACAGATAGCAGGAGATAGCATCTCTCAAACGATCATTTATGAAAAGACTAGGCAGTTGCGTGACGATTTGGTAAAGAAATTGCCTGCAACTAGTGGTGATGCGAGTGAATTTAAGGCCAGCAAAGGTTGGTTTGAAAGATTTAAGAATCGTAGTGGCATACATAGTGTGATTAGGCATGGTGAGGCTACCAGTGACTCTCAAGCTGGTCCTAGTGGCATTAAAAGAAGGGAAGTAACCCCGAAAAAGGATTTGCTACCTCAAGTCCTATTGGAAGGGGATTCCCCTTCTAAACATTAACAACTTCGACACTCTCCACTCCTCCCATCCCATCAATCATCACCAGATCTTCATTAAAGGTAAGTGTCATGTATTCTATTGTTAGTAGAGTACTACTTACTGTGCATGTCTTCTTCAGTTTATGTGCATTAAACTTAATATTTCATGTGGTAAATTTTTTTTTTTTTTCATACTTTTGGGTGTCTTGCATGGATTAATTTGATTTTCATTATTTCTTAGGGGGAAAATTGATTCGCTTTCCTATATTTTTGGTTTACGATAAGCTCTCAAATGGATTAATATTGTAAACCGGGGGTCCACTGTATATGGTTGTGTGTGTGTGCGTGCAAGTGTGCACACACACACAACCCTATATACAAAATTATGTAATACCAAGTTAATTATTATCATTAAAAAATATACCCACAATAACAATCTACTGAACCACCTCAAAAATTACTAAACCTTCCATCTCATGGGACATATAACAGAAGCATGTGTCAGTATTTTCAACCTTTGTTTGGGTGACTACTCAGCTCCAACATCAGGTTAATTACTGTATGGTTAAGAAAGACCCCAATGAATGTACAAAGAAAATAATAGATTCATATTAAGTTACAGTATTTCTATTATACTTGTGTTATTTTAACTATGACAATGCTGCATGGTACTGAACTATACAGTATTATACTATATAAATATAAAATTGTCATTCTGAATTTGTGAAAAGCAAAAAGTAATGTATGATGATTTGTAATTATGACATGTATACTATCTTTAAGAGGCATTAAATTTTTTTTTTTTTCAATAAATCAGTTTTAAAGAGCTACAAAAACTGATGTTCAATATATAAATTAGCATGCAAGGTAACAGAAAACTGTACAAAATTCTACCATGATCAAAGAGAAAAAAAAAAAAAAACATACATTATGTGGGCCATTATGGTTACTGTAGGTGTCCATGATGACAGCCAAGCCAGTGAAGAAGTCCTTACTACCAAACACATCGCCCTCCTGCATGGGCTCTTTCACGTACCTGCAAAGAGTATTGATGTCAGTGAAGTCATTTACCCCAAACATCATTACTCAAAATACTCTAAAAATAATAGACCATAAGAAACAAGTTTTTTTTTTTTTTAACACACTGGCCATCTCCCACCAAGGTAGGCAAAAAAGTAATGCTTTCACCATCATTCATTCAATCACTATCTTGCCAGAAGTGAGCCAACATCATAGCTCGGCTAACTCCTTGAACTACAACAACCCCACCATCCTTCAGAGTGCAGGTACTGCACTTCCCACCTTCAGGACTCAAGTCTGGCTAACTAGTTTCCCTGAATCCCATAATAAATATTACCTTGCTCACACTAACAGCACATCAAATCATAAAAATCACTTGCCATCACTCACTCTTATCCAGAACACTTACATAAGCCTACTGAATGTCCAAGCCTCTAGTACTAAAAACCTCTCTTATCCCTTCCCTCCAACCCTTTCTGGGACAACCCCTCCTTCCCTTTACCCTAGATTTATATGCTCTCCTATTTATTCTGTTTTGATCCTTCCTTTTATACATCCAACCACCTCTCCTCTGCCCTTTGAATAATACTTTTGGTAAGCCCACATCTTATCTTAATCACCAAGCTGCAAATTCTCTGTATATTTACATCACACATTACCCTCAAGGATGACAGCTCCCGTGCCTCCAACCTCCTCGTCACTGACTGTTTAAAACCAATTTCTAGCACCTATAAAACAGGCTGGGACAACACTACTCTGGTAGATTCTCTTTTTTTGCCTCCATAAAAAGGTTCATTTTCTCCACAGATGCCTCAATGCATCACCCACTTTCACCCCCCCCCTCATCAATTCCATGGTTTACCTCGTCTTGCACAGATCCATCTTTAATTACCTAAACTTTTCGTTACTCTCAGTATCTTGTTTTTTAAAACTTTCACTTTTTAATTTCCTTATTTTACATACCCTCTCAAATTTATCAACTAACTTAAGCAGCTTCTCTTCAGAATCTTATAAAAGAACCAAGTCATCAGCAAAAAACAACTATGACCATTCCCACTTCGAATTAGATTCATTATCTTTTAATCCCACATCTCTCCAACACCCTAGTTTTCGCCTCATTCAAGACCTGATCGACAAACACGTTAACTCTTTCACTGTCCAGAGCCATGATCTGAAACTTGTCCCCAATGTCGAAGAATTAAAAAAAAAAAAAATTTTTTTTTTTTATGAAATGGTAGAGAATCTTATTCTGAAGATAATACACAGTACAAAATTTGATTGAAAAATTAACAAAATTATGCTTTTGTGAATTTTGCAGTGTCAGCAATATTTATACATCAGTGATTCTGCCCAATTTGAATCCTATTTTAAGCCAATTACATTGTTCCAGTTGACCAAATTCTTAGCTATTTTGCTAGTATGTTTTCCATTTTATTGACTAAGTACAAGAAACTGCCCAGTCAACTATTTCAACTACCCAGTAAAACGATCAGAAATTAGCAATTGGGCCAATTTCACACAAATTTCAAAATATTCCAATTTTAACCCTTTCAGGGTTTCCGACGTACTAGTATGGCTTATGCACCAGGGTTATTGACGTACTAGTACGCCTAAATTCTAGCGCCTTCAAGTCTAGCGAGAGAAAGTTGGTAGGCCTACATACGAAAGAATGGGTTTATGTGGTCAGTGTGCACAGTATAAAAAAAATCCTGCAGCACACAGTGCATAATGAGAAAAAAAAAATAGACTGTTTTTGGTTTAAAACAGCGACTTTGCAGTGTATTTTCGTATGTTGTTTATAGTTGTATTTTAGTTTTCCTGGTCTCATTTTATAGAATGGAAGACATATTACAGAAACTGAGATGATTTTGATTGGTTTCATAATGAAAAGTACCTTGAAATTGAGCTCAAAGTAGCAGAAATGTTCGATTTTTACCAAAGTTCAAAAGTACACAAATCATGCCAAGCGTCCAATACATGTCAACTGGCGAGTCTAATATTCTTTCACAAGTGTGCTGATATTATTTATACCATTTCTACACTAATGCAGTAGTCTGCATAACAGTAAATCTTCTATTTTTTTGTGAGAATAAAAGTTCAAAGTGGAAAGCAAAAGAGATGCAAGAGTGTCCTGGGGATGCGACTAATGAACACAGAAAATGTTATTTTAGTGCCAGGAATGTCTGTCTTGTTTATTCTGGACCCTATTTGGAAATTGGCATCTTCTGAAATTTGTGTGAAATTGGCAAAATTGCCAATTTCTGACCACTTTATTGGATAGTTGAAATCGGCAAATGGGTGGTTTTCTTGTACTCATTCGATAGAAAAAATGGAGTTCTAACGAAATAGATATGATTTTTGTCAACTAGTACACTGGAATTGGCCGAAAATAAGTCTCAAAGTGGGCGAAATCGCCGATGCGTAAACATCGTCAAGACTGCTAACTTCGCGAGAGCACAATTCCGTAGGTTTTCCATCAAATTTCATACTTTTGGTGTCATTATGATCGGAAAAAGATTCTCTATCATTTCGCAAGAATTTTTTTTTTTTCCAAAAAATTTTCAACCCTGAGAACAAGTTTAGGAGAGGGCCTCTCGACCCTGAAAGGGTTAAAGTGGGGTCCAGAATATACAATGTAGGCATTCTTGGCACTAAAATACTATTTCCTCTGTTCATTTATGTTCCCAGGCTTTGCACATGAATTCCATTTTGATTTTTTATTCATGCAAAGAATTTTTATTCGCATAAAAAAATAGATTTATTGTAATAATTGTATAAACAATATCAGCGCATTCATGAATGCATATTATCCACACCAGTTGGACATATATTGGACAAGTGATGCAATCTGTTTAACCTTGAGCACTGGCAAAAATTTAACATTTCTGCTACTTTGAGCTTAATTTCAAGCTATTTTCAGTCCTGAAACCAATAAAATCATCTCTATTTCTGAAATTTATCTTCCATTTTATCAAATGAGACCAAGAAACTGATAATACAATCATAAAAACCATACGAAAATATACTGCAAAGACGCTGTTTTAACCCATAAACGGTCCAAACGTATAAGTTCTTACTGCTAGCGCCCCAAACATAAATAGTATACGTTTTATTTTTCCTACCTCCAAATTTGGCACGATTGGCTTGAGATGCCTGGTCAGCATAGAATGGGTCTTAACACTCAGTGTGCACCATATTAAAAAAATCTGAGACCAATTAGTACCTTGTGGGAGCGCCAGTTATATCGAGCACCAGCTATAGCAAACAGTAGGGCAAACACCAAGGATTCACTGATGTAATGTCATATTAACACTCCCCTTCTAAGAGGAAAGTGATGTTAACCCCATGTTTAAGGTCTGTCTATCTGTCTCTGTTTCTGTCTCTCTCACAGAAACACAAATACAATTATACATAGTGTAAATTACCTAGGATAACCTAAAAAATCTGAAGTGCTATACTGTGCTTGTAGATATAATGCGTAAGAATACCTGTTGGTTCACAGTGGCTCTCTCTGAGACAGACAGAGAAATCAGACAGATATAATCAGAGATACAGCTCATCAAATGTCATCCCTTATCTCTGCACCCTTGCTGGCACCCATCAAATGTCATAGCTTATCTCCTCTTATCTCTGCACCCTCACTGGAGCCCATCAAATGTCATCGCATATCTGATCTTATCGCTGCCCTCCGGGTTGCTTGTCACATTGCTTCAAGGTAATTTCTTCCTTCTTCCTCCTCCTCCTTCCTTCTTCTATACTCTGTCTCCAAAACATTGCTGGGACCTATAAATACTTTGTATATATTCCTAGACAATAGTAAATGACCAAGACAGGTGTTAATGTCTGCCTGTCAATGTGTTTGTGACAATTTGTGTACAATTTCGGTACCTAATATTAGTGTCAGAACGAAGATTGGTTATGAAATGACAAGAACTACAATAAACCGTAAGTATCAGAACGAGTTAAACCAGAAACATTCAGTTTTTTCATCATGCATTGCATACTGCAGGATTTTTTTGTGTGCTGCACACAGACCCATTCTCTCACATGCAGGAACAAATTTACTGCTGACAGCTTATCCAAGTTAATTGAGTTCATGGTGTAATACTACGGCATCAACAGTGACTCCAAACTCCTAGTACTATGGCACAAACAATGAAAGGGTTAAGTGTCCACAGTGTCTAAGAATTTAAAAAACAAAAAAAAAAAAAAAAAAAAAAAAATTTCTTATGAAATGGTAGAAAATCTTTTCCTCAAGGTAATAAAACAAAGTACAAAATCTGATGGAAAACTTATGAAATTATGCTTCTGCAAATTTTATGGCATCAGCAATATTTATGCATCAGTGATTTTGCCCACTTTGAGTCCTATTTAACCCCTTAACTGTCCAAACGTAGATCTACATTCTCTAACCCAGGTGAACATTTTCACCTGCCTTGGTCACATACTATTGTCTCGAAATATATACATAACATTTACAGGTTCCAGAAATGTTTTAACATACTGGAGTCGCTCCACTGCTGACAGTGCAGCAGTGGAGTGACACTTGACGATCATGCACTGCCTTGGTTTTATTTGTTTTTACTGTTATATATAAACATGTCTGTCTAGCTCTGTCTGTGTGTCTGCTTATCTGTCTTTCTGTCTTCCTGTGTGTCTGTCTTCCTGTCTCCCTGTCTGCTTGTCTCTCTTTCTGTCTCAAAGTCACTCATGAAACAACAGGTATTGCACATGATGTAGAGTCGTCACATCTGATTCCTGAACAAGTGAAAATGCTTATGACTTGCCAGTTATGCTTATTATGTCTTACATCAACAAGCACAGTATAGCACTATGAATGGATTTTTTATTATTAACACATCGGCCATCTCCCACCAAGGCAAGGTGGCCCGAAAAAAGAAAAACTTTCACCATCATTCACTCCATCACTGTCTTACCAGAGGCACACTTACACTACAGTTATAAAACTGCAACATTAACACCCTTCCTTCAGAGAGGTTATCCTAGGTAATTTAC